GGGGGGGGGGGGGGGGGGGGGGGGGGGGGGGGGGGTACTGTTCGCTACTAACAATACTAAACAACAGTACAGAACCCTTGGGTTTTCAGTTTAATGAAACAACGACCCTGCCGCGGGAAACACGGCTGCTGGCTTTCAATAAACCAAAAACAGAACACCTTTTATGTACCATGAAGAAATCCGACTATGATCTGTCCGTTGTTCAAAAAAATCAAAGCACCGCCCCCACCCAACTTCGTGCAACCCCTCCCGTCTCCTCCCAACTCAATCGCCACCCTCCCGCCCTCCCCCCGGTCGCTCGGCAACCGTACACACCTTGGCCCCCTCGTAGTAGGTCGACGTCCGCAGGAGCTCCGGGCGGGTCCCCTTGAGTTTTCTCATCGCGGATTCCACCACGTCGCCGTCAACGTGCTGCTCGGGCTCGACGGGGGCGGCGGCAGCGGAGGCAGAAGAGCCCGATCGCGTGGACCGCACCTCCGGTGTCGTGGGGGGGGTGTTGACGGCGGCGGCGGCGGCGGCGGTGGCGGCTTGCTTCCCGGGCTTCGTGGCAAACTTCTTTTTATGCTTCACTAACGGCGCATTGACCTTGCTAGCAGTGGTGGAAGGCGTGTTGAATTGCTCCATTGTTGTAGATTTCGTAGATCTTCTGTTCTTGTTCCGGGGGGGGGGCGGGAGCAGGGCAAACAGGGCGGTAGCAGGGTGGCGACGGCGAGGGTGGCAGCGGAGACGATGTAGAGAGACGTTTCCGGGTGATTTTGTTTTCAAAGGGGTCCACCGATTCAAAACGACAGCCGCACGGTGTCGGTTGTTGTGGTTAAGTTTCGAAGGGTCCTGACCAAGGACCTGACCCTTCAGTCTGTCTACTCTTGTATAACTTCGTTGCAAATAACCCACGGTACAACCAAAATCACGTTCAACAGCATGCAACACTATGGGGCAGTCAATGGATTAATCGTAAAGGTGGAGTGGACTCCCGGTATGAAGTAGGGACACCAACGGCGGATGCCACAGGTAGACACGGCCTCCGTGCTCCTGCTGCTGTTGTAGAGCCGCTGTGCTGAGAAAACAAGCTGGCTCTACGACAATAATTCAATTCTGTACCACAACACATGTACATGCACCGGTAGATCTCTAGTGTTCGTATTCAAGTGAGACTGCATAAATGCGACGCCTTCTTAAGGTTGACCCGGGAGAATTAGACCTTCCCACCTTCAAACTTGATGTATGTTGTACACAGATACATGCAGTAGGAGTATCGTGGAGGGTTTAAGCACGCAACACTGTCCTTTCTAGGATCGAGCGGATGACTGAACGACTGCAGTACACCACATAAGTACATGTTGTAGTGGCGAGGAACACGCGAAGGAGAACGTTCAGTGCGGCTCTTTACATCTACTCTTCGCCCAACGATGAGGCGAAAGTGTAGTAGATGAGGCGTGTTCTACTAATACATGTACAAGTAGTCTTGATAGGTCAACGAAATAGCCACGGGTTGATAGGGGCAAGCTCGAACGACGCTCACCGAATCATGACTAAAGTTTCTCCATGGGGGTTCGCCTGCCCTAAACGGTACGCTATGGATGGTACAACCAACCACTCTCAATGAAGAGCGAGGTGCGTAGAGCAACGGCTGCTGGATGTACATCTATCTGGTCTCTCTTTATTTCGACAAACAAGGGCTTCCGGGAGGACCGAGAAACAGCAGCGTGTAGTCGAGACAGCAGTGGGGCCGAGCTGAGAACGACCCGAAAGAGCATAGAGCGCTTTGCCTGTAACACCGCGATCCGAACGACCTCTTCACTCATACCTTTGTTGTGGGATCTCCTGAGTGCGGTGTTCGATGATGCGATGTCGTTGTGGGGTGGACAGCGGAGTCGGTGCACGAGTGTACGAGTGTACACAATCACATACACATACAAGACAGGGACAGCCCGGCCGGCTATTCTGATTGGCTGAGCCCATGATGCGTCATGATCTACAGATCATGGCACCATCCATACCCCTTTCCTTCAAAATCCTGGAACCACAACCAACCCAGTTGTTGTTTGCTCGATCGCTCGATCCCTCGATGATGCATGTGCGCTCTATCGACGTTGCATCGCCACGAGTCGCTTGCAGCAAGGGTAATCCCTCAGTGTACATCAGCATTTCGGAGTCTACCCTCAGCCCGAGCTGTTGCCAGAGATGATGAGCAAGGACTGCTCCACGTGCAAGCGGTGTAAATTTAAATTTGATGCATATCATGTCGAGATGTTGGTGGTGGTAAGCTCCGTTGTCGTTTCTAGCCGTTTGTCCTGCACAGTGCAGGGCCACTATAGGTCAACAACGGCTCTTGGCTGGAGGTTGCAACAATCCTGAGATGCCCCTCTGCTTCCGTGGCAAGCCGCAGGATCGTGAGATGGCGTTGTAGCGGGGGGGGGGCTGAAACAATGTGTCCCCGTATAACGAAAAAGGCTTGTTTCATTGGCTGCTGCTGGTGTACGACCCCCATCAAGTTGGTTGCTATTCGATCAGGACGGGATCATCTGCGACTGAGGGACCGATATAGTTGCAGCTCATGCTCAGGTCTAGCAGGCGTTCTAGACGGTCTTTCGATATGTGTGGTATTGTGGGTCTGCTGCTGGCTGCCGAAGACGGTCACGCTAACCAGGAGCTGTTCGACTCCCTCACTGCCCTGCAACACCGCGGACAAGGTCAGTCAGTCGGTCACTTCGCTGCCGCGGTTGCTTCCTCCACCCGCCCTCGGTTCGCATAGCTGTGTGTGTGCGGGGGGTATCGTGTTGGCAGCTAGATGGCTCCACCCGCTGGACAGCTAACAGCGGCGTACCTTTTGGAGGGCATGTTTGTCGTCGTTGTTGTTGTTGCTGTTGTTGTTGTGGTTGTCTGCGCGTGTCTGCACATTCAAAATTCAAACCACCAGAGAGGCTATGTACATCTCTGCACAATGCACACATACGTGAGCACCCACGGACCTGTCAATTTCGTTTTTTGAGTTTGAGTCATGCACCTCGAGCGGTGTTTGTCCCGGACACACAGAGGGGACCCCAGAACGCGCGACGTGCGATGGGCGCGGGCAGCTGGCTGTTTGGTGTTCCGTTCGTGTGCGTCAATCAACCCAAACACCCGCCGGGCCGTTGCCGTTTGAAGTTTGTGAAGGAATTTGTCCCGTGTTGACTGCTGTGACGCTGCTGCTGTGCCCTGGCTCACGCGGCGAGAAATGGTCGGCAAAATCTCAAGATGTGCGTTTTATGTCCGCTGATTACAAGTTTTTGGCGCGAATCATGACCGGTTCTAGGTTGGGGGATATCATTACCCACTGTTTTTGAATCGCCCCTTTCGTCACGTGAACTCGTTTGTGATTTCCCCTCTATGTCGTACATACATGGCCGATCGCGGACGCCCCCTTCCACTGCTGCTGTCGGTCAGATGCGGCTGGTATCGTCACCTGCGACACGGCCGCCCGCCGACTCTTCATGCGCAAGGTACGGTGCGGCACCGCGGCTGTGCAGAGGGTAGCTGCAGTTTTGCACTTCTACCGGTAGTGTTGTGCAGATAGACTGCCGCTTTTTAGGAGACAAGACTATCTGGATGGACTTATGCATTGTACAACGAGGTGTCCACAAGAGTAGTGGTCCATCCTACACAAGTTCAGAGGGACAGGGACAGGATTGATGTCTTCACACTCTCCTCTCCCCGACGGCGGTTTGACGACGTCCACAAAATGGCCCTGCCCTGCTGCGGTTGTCGACACATATTTAGGTCTAGGGACTTGCTAATATCATTTATCTCAACAATATTGACACCGTCCGAAAACTCGGAATGCGGGGGTGCTAAATTATCTACAAACATATGCCGTGCCGAAACTCGGAATGAATGAACCCCCCGTTTTGGGCACCCTAGTTGGGCACGTCTCTGGCAGGGTCATGTGCGGATGAACTGCACATGCACACCGCGGGGCGCTTATGTGCCGCGGAGACTTGTTTGAGTACCCGGCACACCATGGATCTCGTTGATGTTGCATTCTGCTTGCGCCACGATCGTCGAGGTAGCGCTGTGTGCTAGCGGCTGTGTCATTTACTCCCGGAAGTAACGGAATTACAGCCGCGTTCGTACTATTGCTGTCTGCATACAAGTACGTATTTTTTGCCATAGACTTTTGTCATCAAATATATCAAGTCATTTAATTTGGCACTCTCTCTGTTCGACCAGATGGCACCAGCACCAGCACCAGCAGTTCAAGCTTCTTCCGCATTCCATTCGGTTCAACACCTTTCGCCTATGTAGCCTGTTGCGTTTGACATGCAACATATGGGAGCACTAATTAGGCCAACTAAAGAAAACACATGGTAGTGAGTTCTTCCCCGCTTTTGCGTTAGCATGCTTGTGGTTTACCAACCGTTGTGGTCCTAATCGATCCCCGTCCCCCCGTCCCCCTGACGGGCAATTTCACTGGTTCTTCGATTGAGCTTCGAAACCCCGGTGGAGAGTCGTATCCACGGACCTTCGATGTCTGCTGAGCACAGGATGATACGCCCAGGAGTTAGGGAAGGCCGCAGGCGAGCTGAAGTGCTCTGCGGTGCTCAGGGTAGCTTTCCGCTCGCTGGCCGCACTCGCACCTTTGGCGTGTTGTCACTCCGGGCGTGTAGTACACCCGTGGAAAATTCAGTTCATGAGGTCTACCACAGGTGACACAAAACATCACACCCCCTGGACCTATCGTCAAAGCTCGATTACTCCGCAACGCAGAGGATGTGCTAGTCGAAAGACACGTCTTCGGAATGCTCTCGGCGAGATGTCTCCAACGCCGCCATTTTCGGCACCGCCACTCACCTCTGCTGTTGAGCACTGTAATCGAGCTTTGAAAATCACTCCAGGGGGTGTGAGATCTTAAATCATGTCGCCTGCGGCTGCAGCCAGGGTCGGCGGAACCCCCCGAAATATCGCTCCTTCAGGGAGTGGGCGTGGAACCGTGAGGTCCCATGGCTCACGGCTGTGAAATGGTATTAATACCAAGATATTGATGTCGCGAAAGGCCAGATGAGGTTGAAGGCGGCTCTCGTTTTCTTTCGGTTCCTTTACCTCTCCTCGAACACTAGTTCGTTTTGAGTCCTCGTCGGATAAAATCATTCGCCGAGCAGTTCTCCTGGCGACCACCCCGCTGCTTGGTCTAGGAAAAAGTCGTTGTTGTTCCCTGTCGGGATCACTTTGTGCGAGACCAACGTTGCCGAGGTTCAGCGGTATGTACCGCTGCTGTACCACCGGCTACAAAAGACGAGCCTTCTTCTTTCGCGAAAATGGCAACAACACCAACCGACACACCAACCAACAGTTTCCCCAACCAACTCGCGGGCCTCTTGGATATCGAACCCCGAAGCCGTACAGCTAGTCGCACGAAATGTCCGGACATGAAACGCTTGGCGCTGCACCGCCCCGGCACGTCGTCGCCCGCAGGACAACGGACTCTGCAAGGATGTCTTCCAGCAGCACCACATGATGCAGCTCAGAGGGAGGATGGGCTTGGCACACTGCCGATACCCTACGGCAGGCGGAGCGGGCTTGTCGGTGAGGGTGGACGCCGTGTCGTCCCAATGTATTTTTCGGCTGTTAGGACTGCTGACCGCTTTCGGTACTCGGGTTTTGGCGTGCCTTTTCATAGGATCGCGTGGTGAAGGTGCTTCTTTGCTGCCGTGCAGGACTTCGATTTTCCACTGCATTTTGGGGCTGGCTTCCAAGGCTGTTTGGAGCTGGATGAAGAGCCCTCTTGACTCGCGAGTGCCACCGAACAGCTTACAGACCCAGTTCACTGGATTCTAACAGGAACCAACCAAATCTGTCCTCAAGTTTTTGTGCTGCGGTTGCAAGAACCAGTGTCGCATGTTGGCAGGAAACCAGCGATGGGTCTGTTTTTCTGTTGCAGGCCCTATTATTTCCTGTTTATGAAAAGAAAAAAAACGTGCCCCGGCAGGAGGAGGCCCAGCCGATGTACACCAACTACCCCTTCGGGGTCTGCCTGGCGCACAACGGCAACCTGACGAACGTGAGGGAGTTGAAGGAGACCGTGTTCGCGGAGGCCAGGCATATCAACACAGACTCGGTAAGCGAGCTAGCATGTGATGCGCTTTCTATAGTACCCTTCCACGCCGCACAAAGCCGTTGCAAGTGGTTTGTTTATTGGTTTCTTTGGGTGCGCTCTCGCTCACACTAATATTTATCGAAGAGTTTGGTTTGGGGGAAGAGCAGAGTCTTTCTCTTGGCATTGGCGAAGGAGAGGTGTTTCGGACGATATCTCCCGGTGGCGTTGGACGCCACAAGTGGGGAGGTGGCGGGGGGGGGGGGGGGCACTC